ATTGGAGCGTATGATTGATAATTCAGGTACCTACCAGACCATACCTCCTTTGTGTACCAATTTGTTTTGATTTCCCCGTTGTTATCATAATTAATTGTTAGGTCTAGAAAGTTTATAGAATTTCCTTTATCTTCTTCCACAGTAAACTTTAGGGTGTCATGAAAGGCATTAAACTTATCTAGTGTATATTGAATTTTGTCTTTTGGCAGGCCCATTATGCAGTCATCCACATATAGTTTAAAAAATTCACACTTATAGTTTAATTTAGATATTATTTGTTCTTCCAAATTTTTCATTACCAAATTTGCAATTGTTGCTGCTATGGGAGAACCCATTGCTACTCCATATATCTGTGAATAGAACTTGTTTTCGTACTGGAAATATGTGGATTATAAGCACAACTCTACCGCCTCAATAACGCCTTGCAATTGTGATGTATTTTAAAGTGTGATATGATGAGGCTGTTGACGAACTGTGGTTGTTTTTTAAATTAATGAATTTTTTTTTAGTATCTGTTATTTTAGAAAAACTGATGATGGAGGAAAAATACACCGAAACGTATTTTAATTGATAAATAGAGACAATAAATGACTAAACCCAGGAATTAATTTTGATTTGGAGTTAAATCAAATGCCTTTTTATAGTTTGCCATCCATCCTTTCTGCGCTCGGAAGTTGCCGATCATAGTGGATGACTTCGTGGAACTGGATTTCGGCACTGGCGTGGTAAAAATTACACCGGCTCACGACCCGAATGATTACGAAGTGGGAAAACGGCACAACCTGCCCTTTATAACCATTTTCGATGATGAAGGCAATATTGCTGGAGACTATGGAACATTCACGGTATGCCAAGCATCTATTCGAAATCTTCGAAGACTCCTACGGGTCAATTTCTACATTATTACAGGGAATGAAAAGATTCCACGCTCGCAAGAAAATCACCGAGGAGCTGACTAAACTGGGCTTGTACATGGAAACCAAAGACAATCCGATGGTTGTGCCGATTTGCAGCCGCAGCAAAGATGTGGTTGAGCCAATGCTGAAGCCACAATGGCAAGTTCCTCATTTATAATCAAGTCTCAAAGTTTTGAAGATGCAACCATGCCATTCGCAGGTATGTGAGCTGCTCAGAAATGGCGACAAAAGCGGTCCAAGCGGTCGAAAATAAGGAGCTCAGAATCATCCCCGAACAGCAAGTGAAAACCTGGAACCACTGGATGGAAGGTATACGCGATTGGTGCATTTCACGGCAGCTTTGGTGGGGTCACAGGATTCCTGCCTACTTTGCTACAACCAAAAATGGAAAGCCGCTCTCAGAGGTAAATTCATTGATCTGTTATCAAATATAGCCCGTAGATAACGCTTTGTTAATGTCCACTGATGGAGGATCCTTCATATAATTTCCGCATTTGTTTAGGTTGAAGACCAAAATTGGGTGTCCGGCCATTCCGAGGCAGAGGCGTTGCAGAAAGCCGCAAACAAGTTCAATTTAGAACCTGAAGAGTTCCAATTAACGCAGGACGAAGATGTGTTGGATACGTGGTTCTCCTCAGCCCTGTTCCCGTTTTCCATCTTTGGCTGGCCTGAAGCCACCCAGGATTTGAACGTGTTTTATCCTACCAGCCTCTTGGAGACTGGGAACGACATTCTGTTCTTCTGGGTAGCCAGGATGGTGTTCATGGGGCAAAAACTGCTAGGAAAATTACCGTTCAAGTAAGCGCATTTATTTTCCAGAAGGTGTTACGGTTGGTAACATTTTTCTTTGCTCCAGAGATGTGTACTTGCATCCTTTGATTCGAGACGCGCACGGCCGTAAAATGTCCAAATCCTTGGGCAATGTGGTGGATCCCATGGACGTTATTGCGGGAATATCTTTGGACGACTTGCATAAGCAATTGTATGACAGTAATTTGGATCCAAAGGAAATCGACAAGGCAAAAGCGGGGCAAAAGCAGGATTATCCCAATGGCATTCCTGAATGTGGAACGGATGCGCTTCGATTCGCTTTGTGTGCCATGTCGTCTGGAAAGGACATCAACTTGAACATTCTAAGAATCCAGGGCTATCGGTAGGTGCTAATCGGTTGACTGGGATTGTTTAGTAAATTCCAAATCAAATCTATTCCTGGGTTGGCAATGAGAGAGTGAAATATTTTGCCGATGATGATAAATATTCGCTCAAACAGATGTTCGAGAATGAGAAATTCAGTTCAGCCAATGAGCAAGACTCGGCGTTCATGAAAATCGCCTCTAACATTAAAAAGAATGATAACTTGGACGATTTGTTTGCTGACGATGTGAGACGGAAAAAATCCGCCTCCAGACTGGCTGATGCTAAGCGAAGCCAAGCTATTACTGAACATAAAAAAGTCTCCACTAGTCTAGACAATTGTCTGCGATGCATCGAGTCTTGTTTCTGTTGTCCAGTTTCTTTCTTGCAAGAAAATGCATGCCAATGCGTAAAGCAGCAACAACGCTACACATAAAAACTGATGATGGTGGAAAAATACACCGAAACGTATTTTGATTAATAAATAGACAATAAATGACTGAAACCCAGGAATAGATTTGATTTGGAATTGAATTTGGAAACATTGTTGCAAATTGTAGATTTTTCTGCAATAAAATCTGGAACGCTTCCCGCTTTGCGTTGACGTACTTTGCAGCAGACTTTGAGGTGCCGGCTGATCAAGAGCTAACAGGCGATGAAAGTCTGATGGATTTGTGGATGTTGAGCCGAGCAGGGTCGGCCGTTCGAGATGTGATCAATGGCTTTGAGGCCTTTGACTTGGTCTCAGCCACAACGGCCATCTATAATTTGTGGCTGTACGATCTTTGTGATGTGTATTTGGTAAGCTGAGGAAACATGTGTAGTTACTGTGGTCCTTAGTTAGTAAATTTCAGGAATTTCTGAAGCCAGTCTTTACTGGCGACGACGGGAAGGCCAAAAAAGCAGCTATGATCACTCTGTATCGAACTCTGCACATTGGGCTTCGATTACTAGCGCCTTTTATGCCCTTTATCAGCGAAGAACTCTATCAAAGGCTGCCTAGAAGCCGGGCTATTGTGGAAACTGTGCCCAGTATATGTGTGGAAAGTTTCCCCGAGAAAGAAGCGAATTATGTGAATGAACAAATCGAGAAAGAAGTGGATTTCGTCCAGAAAGTTGCCAAAGCCATTCGGTCAGCCAGAAGCGACTATAATTTGCCCAACAAGACGAAAACTGAAGGTAACAACCAGGAAAATTTGAAACAGGGTTTTCAAAGTGTGGTTTTAGCTTATCTGCATTCGAAAGATGCACCAACCATTGAAATATTGAAGAAATATGCATCAGCCCTCCAAACTTTGGCGTATTGTTCGAAGACTGCAGTAGATGGGGCTTCGCCCGAAGGTTGCACTATTATCACAGTGTCTGATAAATGCGAGGTGCATCTTCTGTTGAAAGGACTAATCGATCCGGTGAAGGAGATCCAGAAGATTCAGACCAAGCTGGACTTTTTACAGTCAACTAAAAAGAAATTGGAACAAGCAATGAATATCGAAAATTACGCAACGAAGGTATACATACAATGCCATTATTTTAAATCGGTGAGATTAGAGCGTCTGAATAAGACTACCTTTTAAGCGTTTGGCAAGTGGTGTAGAAGTTAAAAAGTAGCAGTAAAAGGGAAAAATATCCCATATGGATTATCTGGTCTTATTTTCAGGTGCCCCCTGAAGTGCAGCAGTCCAACTTGGAAAAATTGTCCGAGACAACTATTGAACTAGAGCGATTAGACGCCGCACTTGGAGCTTTAAAACTGATGTAAATCAACTCAATAGAAGCCAATGCTGAAAGAATTCCACTTCAGGTTTATTAATCTCTGCTTTCTAATTTTTATGTATGATTGAAATTGTATTTATCAAAAACCGTACACAGTTTCCTGATCTACATCCTCGAAACCTCAGATTTTAATTATATGGACGAATCAGTTTAATAAAAGGATTTTATTTAAACACCATTTTCCTGGTCTATTTTGCTTAAACAAGAACTTCCACTGATTCATTCTTGTTCAGTTAGAAAAATTCCAATATTTTTAGGGGTGAAAATATTTAAAGGGGGGTGGTTTGATAGGATAAGCCCATAGACCAAATTGGGCATAACCTCACAATCTGTGTCTGAAGACCTAACCAATTTTTCGTTCAAGTAAACAATAAAATAAAGTAAAGAAAAGAAGTAAACTAGATTCCTTCATACACCTTTAAATTGGATTTTACTGCACGTGGAAAATTTCTAAAAGTGTTGAAGCATCCTACAGTGATGCACAATGGTAAATATTTTCTACCTGAACAATTTCTGTGGTTAATACATTTCGTTTTCAATATCTCAACAACTTAGAGCCCCAGCAGACATTTCCTGTTTGTACAGTGCATTTATTCCTTTTGTTTAACTCGCTATCTATTCAATATCTAAACAATTGTCTTATTTAGGGTAAGTCTAAGAGTTCCAAGAAGCATAAGAAACGTTCGAGGAGACAAGAAACCAGTTCATCAGAAGATGAATGGGTGGAAGCAGACACCGTGAAAAACCACAGGCAACATGCCAGAAATGCATCGCCAGAGGATTTACTGAAAAGGAAAAAAAGGCGCAGACATTCCAGCAGCGATAGCCGATCTGATAGCAGTGCAGAAGACACAAGGACAAAGTCTCATGCGTCTGAAAAACCCAGTAAAACTCCGAGTCCGAAGCAACAAAACACCAATAGAGATGACTGGATGAACCTCCCAACGAATTTCGCCTCATTTTCGAACGTGGACAAGAAGAAAAGCAGGGAAGAAGAAAGGAAAATCCAGAAGGAAAAGGACGTGTATGATCCTTCCAAATGTCCCAGGGAATTGAACGTGTACTGGAAAAATGGAGGTGATGGTTTGCCGAAGTTTCAAAAGCCCAGCGACGATTCTCACAGGTGAGACTCCGAGGATATTTGCGAAATCAGGTTAAAAACTCCTAATTTTTTTACAGTTATAAAAGTGAGCGACCTTCCAGTAGCGGCCAGTCTAGATGGAGAAAAAGCAAGCCTGAAGCGACCGATAGAAGAATAGATGGACCTTCTGAAACTTCCCCTAGAAACTCTGCAGGCCCTTCAAAGCCAGTTGCAAAACCCAATCAGAACGTTGCTGATACGCCGATTACCGAAAAGGAATTAAATCTACTGGCAGGAAAGCTGGTGAAAGCTGAAATTATGGGGAACAAAAAGCTGGTAGACGAACTGAAGCAGCGGCTGGACGCTGGACGCAGAGCTTTGGCAGAAGAGCGAACTCAGGATGATGAAGTGCTGCTCACAGAAGCGAATCGGCAAGGAGCTTCAAAGCCTTTAGAACTGCGAAGTGCCATTGACAGTGAAAAAAGACGCAGGAGGGCTGTGGAAACCCACGCTGGCAATGAGAGAGTGAAATATTTTGCCGATGATGATAAATATTCGCTCAAACAGATGTTCGAGAATGAGAAATTCAGTTCAGCCAATGACCAAGACTCGGCGTTCATGAAAATCGCCTCTAACATTAAGAAGAATGATGACTTGGACGATTTGTTTGCTGATGATGTGAGACGGAAAAAATCCGACTCCAAACTGGCTGATGCTAAGCGAAGCCAAGCTATTAGTGAACATAAAAAAGTCTCCACTAGTCTAGACAATTGTCTGCGATGCATCCAGTCAACAGCTATGCAAAAGCATTTGATAGTTTCAATGGGCGAATACATTTATCTGGCTCTGCCTGCCCATGAGCCTTTAGTGGAGGGGCACTGCCTTATAGCCCCCATAAGGCATGTGGCCTCTGTGACCCAGTTGGACGAAAACGAATGGAATGAAATGAACGATTTCAGAAAGGCGCTGAGTCGAATGTTCGCAGCCAAACAGCAGGAACTGATGTTTTTTGAAATTGCTGTTGGATTTCACAGGTAAAGATTAGTTTTGGTCCAATAATTAAAATAATGAAATAACTGTGTTTTTAGATATCCGCACACTGTTTTGGAGTGTATTCCTTTGGATAAGGAAGACGCAGGAATGGCGCCGATGTATTTCAAAAAGGCGATAGACGAATCGGAGATTGAGTGGACGCAAAACAAAAAACTGGTGCCACTGAAGAACCGCGACGTGCGCCAAGCCATTCCCAAACAGCTTCCATATTTCGCAATTAATTTCGGGATCAGCGATGGATTCGCCCATGTGATAGAAGACGATAGATTGTTTCCGAAGAACTTTGCGCAGGAAATCATCGGCGGCATGTTGAACTTGGATCACAGCAAGTGGAGACGACCAGCGAGAGAACGTTTCGAAGTTCAAAGCAAGCGAACGGTTGCTTTTTCCAAAGTTTGGACGAATTTTGATTGTTCTGCCAAAGCGATGTAGAATTTTGCAAGAAACATAGATTAGACTGGTTTGATGATTTTAATTGTGTAATTTTACAAGCAGTGTAAACTTGTAAAATCTCAAGTAGTCGGTTGGAAATGTTCGCGGGATTAAAGTTAGGCTCAATGAGGTTTTGAGGGATTTTCGGTTTTATACTGCTTTTTTGAATTAATTTAAAAGCTTCATGTTTTCTGCAAAATCTTGCGTTTTTGTAGATGGACATTCAGAAGACCAATGATTGTGGTAGAATATAAGACAGTTATCTTTAAGAAATATGACAAATCTATAAAAAGTTGAAGAATCAGGTGCGGTTTTTGTGCCAAAGACCCAGATCCTGTATATTCCGATCATTTGCGATTTTTAAAGCGTGTTCTGACAATTGTATTTCTGCACAGTAGCAATTTATGCGAACACAAAGAAAGAAAAGGAAATCGCAAGTGCCATAAAAAGTTGATTCTCGAAAAGCTAAGCTATGCATTTATAAATCTAGAACCTTTTTACCAACCTTGCGAGAGCTGCCCCATGGTCCACTTCCTCTCCAGTAATCCTCAAAACAATTTGCTGGAAACCTTATTTCTGGAGCTGGAAAACTGGAGCTCACATTCAAATCTCCCGCTGAAATAAAAAAAAATAGATTGCTTCTACACGCCGTGGGAATTCGGGAGCCTAGTTCTACTCGCGCCCCCTAGTAGCGACAAACAGCGTGCTGCAGGCTCAGTGGGCAGATTTCTACTCATAACTTCTGTGATCTGCGTTTAAAAATGGCGATATGTGACGTTTAGGCAGATGTCAATTTCCTCCGGTAAGACTTTCCAGAAAATTTGTGTTATTTAGGTGTATTATTCCGAGATATAATTGCAAGTTACTTAAGTAACAGCCAGTGTAGATCGTCCTGCACTTTGAAGCTGGTGAGGTGAAGACATTTACATTTTAGTAAATTCAGTGACGTAAACAATTATTTGTTCCCCATAACAGAGACACCCATAAGTAATAATTTTCAGCTGTCATCGCTGTGTGAAAAAGGGATATATTTTGCAATATTTCAAATTTACGACCGGTTTCGCAACGTTTAACGCCAATGTACTCGTTCCAGTGCTAATTCAGACACTTTCTCCCTTTCAGGTCGCCTTATTCGGTTTTCATCAGGAAGTGAGTGAAAAACTACCAAGATTTCCCTAACAGAGGATTCGGTAAGTCCCAAGTGACATCCTCTATTATTTTTACCTGATGCTTCCCAATAAGCTCTTATAATAGTACTTAGATCTAAAATTATCTTTTGGACATCAGCCAGAAACAGTTTCTGACCTGAATCGAAAAACAATACATATCTGGCTTTTTATGTTGCATATTTACTGATAAAACTACTCGATGAATATCCCCTTTATTGGCGTTGCTAGTATGCTGCAACTGTATAAGTGCTTACTAATTAAACGCACCTATTTGAGTACATTTGAATACATATGCAATGTACGCACAGCCTTAGTTGAAAAACTCACAAAGATTCAGAAATAGCCATTCAACACTCATGTTTGCCATACAGTTATCAGATTACATCGCCAGCCCAATGCTTTTTCCGATCATAGCTAGATCTATCATGTTCGTTCTCCAGAAACTGATCATTTACTTGCATGAGTTTGGCTGCTGTTTTACTAAAGCACCTGCAAAGGTCATATTCAATTAGTGGCTCAAGATTCTTGACTTTTACAAGGTTATTCAACTCCAAGTTTAATTCAAACCCAGTCCCAGTGGATGCCAAACATTGAGTGGATACCTACCCAAAAGGACTTCAAACTCAATCTCAATCTATTCAAACGGTTTTTGTGTTTAGAATTATTTGTTCGATCATGGTTGGCCCCCACGAAGAGCACACTAAACGGATCACCTTTCCACTTGCTGCTGAAGAAGCGACTTCCATCCCAATCAACCCTGAGAAAAGTATTGATTCCATCTTCACAGAGATCGGTGGCACATTTTCGCAATGCACGGGCGATCTGCAAGTTGCTATCAATTCCGATGGAAAGGAATCAGTAAGTGTGCAATAAGTTTTTCTTGCGAAACCACTGAAATTTGTTGTTTCAGGACAACCTAGAAGCCCTGCGAGATAAGATAGCGGTGGCTTCAGATTATGAGTTATTGGCAACGCCAAGGGGGACCAAGTTCGTACCGGAGGCTACTGAGGATGAATTGGTATTAGGGGCATCAGCCAGTCCTACAACAGGTGATGCGACCGGTAGCGATGTATATCGTTTGCATCAATTTACTTCGCAGCTAGCGAATTACAGTCAAGGTAGGAGGAAGGCTACACAGTTAAGTCCAGTTGTAGGTAAGCGAAGCTAGTTTTGGATCAGGTGTTTCCTATTCATCAACATTCACGCTCATTTGTTTGTTGCTTTCGCATAACTCTGCTTCGTGAGGAAGTGAAACAATAGGAAAAACTAACAAAACAAAACTAGTATTTACTCACAGAGTGAATTTGCTTACTCCTTTTCTGTCAATGAATGCAGCACACAACGTTTGCTTTTGTCTGTTTGCAGTTGTCCAATAGGTTTACACGTTTACCCGACACAGTCGACATTTAGCAAATCCTGAAATATAAATAAGCTGAGGGATTTGATTAAAATAAAAACCAGAATAAAACGCCAAAAAGCAATTCCAATGGCCCATGGCTTATAAGCCCGGAAAAGTTTCCCACTATTCTGACCGGCTGAAACCCTTCATGGTCCGAAAAAACTAGTTTTCTCCATTTTGTTTACATGTTCAACATCTCTTGAACGATCTCGCTTATTGCCGGTTGTATATCGTAGTTTACAGGTTGTAAACATTTGCAAATATTCATATTTTGAGTTGCCTGCATTCCTCACTTATCGCAATCTTTTTTAACTTGACTATCGTTTTTCAACGAGTTAACGTTTTAAACAGTGTTATTTCCGTGCTGATTGAAGCTATAGTCATTGTTATATCGAAAACCACAAGTTATAGATGGGCAGCGATTTTGTCAAATATTTGTTTGCTTATGTGACTGATCAGTTATCCACAGACATGGGTAAACTATACGGTAACGAAAATTCACTCATATTTCAGTGACGATGTACAGTTGGCGACACATAAAAGTAGGCGATTTTTCCCGATTTAAAATAAAAAAAATAATTCGGCAATTTAATTAATATCTATAAATCGTGCTCTTCGGTTTTCCAAATCTCTTAGCTGCTGTTTTTGTTGTAGAAAAAGTAGAAAGTAGATACACAACAACTATTTAATCGTCTAGTTTTATGTAAAACAGTAGCGATTATAATTGACCATTTCATTCGGGATTTTGTGTTTCAGTTCCGACCGTTCCTACTTATGTGGGTTTAGTAAATCAGGCAATGACATGCTATTTAAACAGTTTATTGCAAGCATTGTATATGACTCCAGAGTTTCGAAACGCACTGTATAATTGGGAGTTCGACGGAGCCAACGAATCACGATCAATTCCATACCAGCTGCAGAAACTGTTTTTAAGATTGCAAACATCCAAGAAGCCTGCTGTGGAGACTACAGATTTAACTACCAGTTTTGGTTGGCAAGGTTTGTTGCTTTTTATGGATGTTTCGGAAACTTTTGACTAATGCGGTCTGTACTGTTAACAGGAAGCGACGCGTGGCAACAGCACGATATTCAAGAGCTCTGTCGTGTAATGTTTGATGCGCTAGAACATAAGTTTGTAGACACGAAACAAGCGAATCTGATTAATGATTTGTATGAAGGCAAAATGCTCGACTATGTGAAGTGTTTAGAGTGCAAAACGGAAAAATCAAGGGAGGATATGTTTCTGGATATTCCACTGCCAGTCAGGCCATTTGGCAGTACCGTAAGTTTGTATTTTGCTGCGCAAACGTTTGGTTTCTAATACTAACTAGACTTTGATCGATCCAGGTCGCATATAACAGTGTAGAGGAAGCATTAAGAGCGTTTGTCCAGCCAGAGATTTTGGATGGGAATAATCAGTATTTTTGCGAGAGGTGCAACAAGAAATGCGATGCGCACAAAGGACTGAAGTTCACCAAATTTCCGTATTTGCTCACTTTGCATTTGAAACGTTTCGATTTTGATTACAGCACCATGCACAGAATAAAGCTGAACGATAAGTGAGTTCTTAGAATTTCATGTGGGTATTTTATCTCCAAATTGAATTTTATCTCCGTTGAACAAAATTGTCTGAAACTCCTAAAAACACAATTTCAAGCAATAAAGCGCCTAGCAATTTTGCATTCCACATCTCAGGCAACATGTGCAGTTTAACGTTGTGAATGTGTTGTTTTAGGGTCACATTTCCCGAAGTATTTAACTTGAATTCTTTCGTACCAACAAGCAAAAGTAAAGTAGAGCATGGAAATAACGGCGAGACTGAAACTGTGGTGAAATGTGACGATTGCAGTACAACTGATTCTGGATCGGTGGATGATGAAAGTTGCCAGGACACCGACGTTTCGTCTACAGTTAACGGACATTATGATAACTGTGGAGATAGTGATGAAGGTAACTAAATCACTGAATTGAATCTTACGAACCGTTTTGTGCATCGTGCTGCGTAGGAAGTTGCTAAGTAAATGAATATTTCAGGAATTGATGTCAGTTCAGGTAATCGCCAAGACAAAGAACCGACAGGTCCATACGTTTACGAACTGTTCAGTATTATGATCCACTCGGGAAGTGCTTCAGGCGGTCACTACTACGCCTATGTAAAGGATTTCGACAAAAATTTATGGTTTTGCTTCAACGATCAGAACGTCAGCCCGATTACGTCTGAAGATATTCGGAAAACGTATGGGGGTGGCCCCCAAAGGGCATACTATTCCGGGGCGTATAGTTCAAGTACGAACGCCTATATGCTAATGTACCGACAGATCGATAAAGAACGAAATTGTCGAGCGATGACTGTCAGCGAGTTTCCACCGCACCTACAAAGGCTGTTAAAGCACATGCAACAGAAGGATGAAGAAGATCTGTTGAACCGGAAGAAGGAAGACGATATGGTCAAGTTGAATGTTTGGTGCAATCATCCCACTTCGAAATTCCTACAGGAATTAAAGATCTCGGTAAATTTTGCTAATGGTTTATTGAATTGAAGGATTTTCGTTATTTTCTTGATCAGACATTCATGGATTCGACATTGGGTGAAATAGCTCAGCATGCTTACAATCGATTTAAACTGGACGGGTTAGTCAGTATAAATGACTGTCGTTTGGTTGCTTATAATGCTCAGCAGGATTGCATATGCTGCAGTTTTGACTCCGACGAAATTAAGTATCAGGAAACGTTGCCAATAGCCACTTTGTTTGCATTCTCGGATTTTATGCTAGAAATTCGCGATTCTGGTTGGTTGCCTTCATTTTCTATTTACTGATCCATAACCGATGCGACACGTTTTAGGAACTGTGTGGAGAAAGTACCATCCGGGTGGCATCAACATAAAAATCTACCCAATTCTCTTAAAAACCGAAGACGTTCTGAATCCGGTGACTTTGCGAGTTGATGCTTGCGCAACTAAAGGAACACTTAAGGAGGAGTTGGGTCAACTTTTAGGCACTGATCCAAGCCACTTGGAAGTAAGTCTCTTCAATAATCCCACTACACTGTTGTGCTCATATGGGTGATTTTGCAGATTGTCTTAGTAATGTACAACAAACAAATTTATTTTAAAAATGATTCGGATGCGATCCAGTATGATGTCAATTGTGCGAACTGTAGAATATATGTTGCTGAAATCGACGATTCAGATCCAGAAGAGGCCGAATTAAAGATGGAAAAGCTGAAAGAACTGGTCGATAAATTCAATCATATGATCAGTATAATAATATGTTTACCCGATACCGATGCGGGTAAGTGAATTCATATTGATTTATATACAGGGTGGTTCACTGTTGCTCACATCTTAGACGTATACGATCATACCCTGTAATTAACACCGTTTTTGAATTTCCAATAACTTTTCTCAAGTTTTTCTCCAATCATTTTCAAACATTTTAAGTTTTTACAAGTACAGATATTGCAGTTATAAACATTAAATTAGAACCATGTTTTGAACGAAAAAAAAATGGAAAATAGTTAATTACTCGAACACCGTACCACCGAACACCACAAATATCGCTTGAAAATTTGCAATTTTTTAGCTACTTTGGAGATGTTATCCATACCTGCTTTGGATTTTAATGAAAACACGGATAAGCAGGACGCAACGAGTGATCGAGAGAGCAATTCACCTAATTTACGTGTGTCGCCACAGCCTGGTTTAGGTGGCATGTGTGGAGATGGATACGACCAGAGCAATAGTGAGGATAGCAGCTTAAGTGAAAGTGATCGAACACTGATTGGGGATGCTCCAAGTAAGTTTCGTGGCTTGCGCACAAATTTCAATGGCTTGAATTCGAAACTCTTTGTTATAGCTGATTGCCTTGGACTGTCATCCAGCCAGTCGGCATCTCCCCAGGATCATCATATGGCATCTCTATCCGATCCTTGCCAGGATTCATACAACCACGAAGTCTTGGGAATGCCTAGAGACGAACTGATGCACTGGGATGACCCGGGAGATGCTTTAAGCGACGATCAAGGTCTCTTCTTTAAGGTACCAATCAACAATAAACAAATGTAACTTTAACTGATTACAACTTTTCTTTGCAGGTTTCAAGTATAGGAAGTAGTTCCAATCGTGCAGACGAACTGACGGATCACCAATGCCAGGTAAGTTTCAGTCGAATGCTGATTGATGAATCTCTTGGGTTATCCAATAGTCCGAAAATTAGTTACTCTTATGGTGTTATTTTTGCAGTTAATAGTCGACAGGAGAATGACTTTCGAAGCCCTAAAGAAACATTTGGAGAGTATTTTGAGAGTGTCTTCGGAATATTTTAAAATTTTCAAATGTCAGAACGGAGAACAAACCGAATGGACCAGAATGAAAGAGACAATGCAATTACTGAAAGACGGTGATGTATTTTTGGTAAAACTCGGCAGGGTGTTGCGATCAGGCGAACAGCTATGTAAGGTACGTCGATTTCGAGATCAATTAATAATAATATTGTAATACTTACCAAGTTAAACTTAAAATTGTTTGGGGTTTTTCAGGTATATCTTCTCAAACCCGATAATATGTCCCCGAACAACTTCTTGTGCGAACAAGTCATATACAATGAGCAGACCATCGGAGACCTTAAGAAAGCGATTCTCAAGTCTGCAAAGGCCCAAAACGGGTTAGATATTCCGTACAGCAAATGTAGGTTGCGAGAAAAGCACTGGAAAAGGGTAAGACATTGTAGAAAGCTTCAACGTTAAATAATCCCACTTATTGCAGCCCAAAAAAGTATATTTGGATGATCAAAAGTTCGGTGTTGATGTCTTTATTGATTTTAATGGCGAACTCTATCTACAAGAACTGACCGAACCTGATACGCTAACTTCCACCAATCAAGTAGTAGTATTTGTGCGAAAGTTTAGTCCGAGCGAACTAACTCTGGGTCCATATCAAGGTAAACATGAACATCCGCGCTAAACCGATCGACCTAATTTAATGTTCGGAAATGTTTCAGAGGTTGTGCTCGATCTGTTAACTATGGAGGATCTTCGAACGAAAATTTTGCAGCTTTCCAATATACCGATTTCCTATTTGGACGTAGCCCATGTGAAAGGAAACTATCCTTACGACATTCATATCTTGGAGATACACAATGATTTGGAATGGAATCCAAAAGTGGAAAATCTAGATCAATGGCCTTTAGCAATTGAGGATGGCTGTATATTTTTCTACAAGTAAGTTCAGCTAGAGATTTGGTGCGACGCGTATATTTGACACAACGCGTAATTAATTATCCGCAGAGATAACAGGGAAGCTTTGAAAGAACTAACGGCAAAACAGAAGAAGGAAATCAGTGAAGCTGAGGATTATAGACTAGGCAGACCGGTCGCCTGCAATCGAGAGAGGGCTTTAAAAATTTACGTTCTCGATTCGTCTCCTAGTAAATCTGAAGGCGACATAGACTGACCTAAAAGCTACGAATCATTTATGTACTGTGTTCTTAGCTGAGCAAAATGGTGTGCCAGAGTATGCTGTTGCCAAAAAAATACTACCGGCAAATACGCAAAGCTCGCTTTTTCAGTGGTAAGGTATTGATAGTTCAAGCTAGACCTCACAATATTATCGACTTCAATATTTTTATTAGTTAAATATTGCTAGGAACAACAGCTACCATCCCCGCCATATCTAGCTTAAACTATCAAAGTGAATGTTCAGAAGTGCAGTGCGTTATTTTCAAGGAGAAATCCTTTTAAATCATTGGTAAATCGACCTGTCTATTTATTACTTCCACTAGTTGAACGTTTTAAATTTCTCCCAGTCAAGACTTTGTATTGCAGTTGTTTTAAATTGGATTTTAGTATTTTTACCGATTAACCATCAAATTAATTTGCAAAATCAAAACTAGCTGCTTGTTACGTGAATCGGCAAATTTGTCCAACCCTTTGGAAATAAAATGCAAAGAGGTAAAAATATAATTGAAACAATTGATTTATACGCAGAGTAGCCTACGACAAAGTGCCCAGGAATGTAGCAAAAATAAAAAAGAAAAAGTTCACACCCATATTTTCTTGTGGTTGTTTTCAACCCTTTCGTCTATGCGCCAATAAATTACGGAGCAGGAAATCTATATTTCTAAATGATCAATTTTACGTTTATTATCCGTACTCATGTTTTGTACTCGTGCAAAATATGGTCGTGCATAATTGCCGTAAAACATAGTATGCAAACAACAAATTACCAATAGATTCGTAACCGCGTAAAAGATGTACGGCCATTTGCTCCGGTCAATGTGACGGAAACAAGGGCACACCTTCCTGGGTAGTTTTTATGGTGGGCCAACCTGTTTTATTTGTGATTTTTTGCATTGTGTCGCAAATCACCTTTTTAAGGTTTGTATTTATTACTATATTTACGCGCTCATTTTTTAAGGGGTATTGATTTTCCGTACGCCTTCGTATACTGTATTATATTGTTTTTTAATGCCGAGCATTTGATTTAGACCTAAACTGTTGAAACCGTCTTGTATAAGATAATCAATCAATCCCTCGGTCTTGAAATGGTCGCCCGCGTTTTACAAGAGGCGGCTGAGTCACTAAGTGTTTATTATATTTTTAATCTACAATTCGGCAAATAAATATTACTGTTTTTGCGGTGCGTTCCGTTATATGATATATTTGTTGTTCTAGGCCGTGTGTTCTTCCTGTATTAAACGTTGATTGTGTATAATTATTTATCTCGTATTTGACTGTATAAACCACAATTATCTTAACAATTTGGCCTACTCAATCTGAGAGTCTTCAGTGTTTTGAGCATGTTGTATAAACAGCTACGCCATCGCTTGTTATACATCTACTTTGTACAGATATTTATTTGTAACTGAATTATTAAATATAATGTTTATCTATATATTTTTATTTGCATTCCAACTGCGATGACGGCGATGGTTCTATAGGGAATACTGGTTCTTTATCGACATTTATTTGGACATTATGCAACTTTTTGCAATTGTACATACATACACAGACACAAACACATTACCTACGTTCAACATATGGAATGTATCAGATTCGATAAATATTATGTACATTATATACATCAGGCAAGTATATTTACAACGACATGACATCCAACAACGACATTCCATATGCGAACTAAAAGAAAACACAGAAAATACCTTAGTTTCACGGGATAAATCTGGGAATGGGTTTCAGTGATTTTCTTATTAAACGTAATCCGAATGGATGCTGCTACCACCACTTTCACAAATCGCAGCCAATCGCCCTGCAGGTCTTCGGGTGTCCCCTGCGGGATCTAACGACAGGGTGGACAGTCCCACCACTTCGTACGCCCTTTCTGGCACCGTTGTAACCGAAAGATCGGAATAATACGCACTGGATGGAGCGCTGGAAGTCGGTGCGTCCGTATCAGTGTACGCAGAATTCTGGTAAGCTGGCGAATTGTTTCTATCTAAAATGGAATATTTATTAATTTACTTGATCTGCATGACATTGCGATCAATTGTTGTTACCTCCATCTGCCGCATCTGGGTTGTCGCGATCCAGTTCGGCGTAAAGCGCTTCTTCGACGTTATACTGATCTTCCATGTGGGTGTAATGGTTCTCCATCACGTGCGAACTTGGAGGGCCGTTTAGGTTGTTTGGGGACGTGATATTTCTCCTCGCCAGCCACGACCAGACTCCATTGGCATTCGTACACATGGGCATATTGGGGAAAGTTGCCGGCGTGATTGTGCTGATTTCTTTGTCATCGGGCGTGTGAATCGGTGGTCGAGTTGAGAGTTGTCGTTGATGCATTGAAATACCACATTCTGTCTCTAAAGATCATTTACAAATCATTAAAAAACATGTCGATTACAGTTTTGAACAGTGCTGCACTTGTTTATGTTATACAATAAAAAAATTGATGTAAAAAGTCTTCAAAAATAAAGTGTCAATAAAGCGACAACGTTTTTAATTAGTGACCCTGATGATAATCAGTAAAAGACGCCCATTTAGGTTTGTGGATTTTTCGGTCAAAGATTGCGGCAAAAATAAAACACTATTTCTCATGAGCCGACGTTTCGACTATATTTAACTCACAGTCACTTAGTTTGCGCGTAATTTCCTACATTCAGCCTAATTTGCAGAGCATTCCATCGAAAAAAATCAGTTCAGGTTTGAATCGAATAGCAGGCGCGAAAAACCCTGTAGACTTAAAAAATTGAAAAAAATTGCCCTGCTAATAATTGTATATACTTTCCTGACTGTGTTTCAATTCCAAATCAAAATTAATTCCTGGGTTTCAGTCATTTATTGTCTCTATTTATCAATTAAAATACGTTT